TTTTTATTTAATGTTAATGTTCAAGTTTAAAGTTTGTTTATTTAACCCTGTTAACAATAAACAGGTCAGTTTCTCATACCAACTGTTGTGGATCATTCTAACTAACCCGATTAAGTAGTTGTTCTTTGCTTGATCAAACCTTTTCTAACATGACTGACAACAAAATAAGTGAATATGTATAATACGCGCTTGGATCGGATTGGTATCGGTATCGGCCAAAACTCAAGGCTGTAATATTGGTATCGGATCGGAAGTGAAAAAGCTGGATCGGGACATCCCTAGTGGTGGGTCATATTTCGTATATTTTGAAAGTCAACCCTAGGGCCGTTTAAAATTGGCCACGATTGGCCCACAGGCCAAACTTTGGACATGTTTGCCTTTAGGATATAGCTAGTCCACTTAATGCCTGATTATATGATGTTTTTGTAGAAATCTGACAGAGCTGACAAAAATCTAGGACACATTTTTAAAGGGCCAATATTTTCATAAAAAATATATTTTAAATGATTATAGCAGTGCATTTTTACACAAATGTTTAAAAACTTAAAACAGATCCAAGTACATCTAAATTCCTTGGAAATACTGTTTCACCCCAAAAATGGCATTAGTGTATTGATGTGCTACAGTTTTTTTTTTGGCAGGATATAATTTGTTCCATTTCTCAAAAAAGGGTGAAATGTCTTAGATTGATGACTGTTATAACTCTGTCATCATTCTGAATGTTGAGCATCTTTTACTGATTGTAATGACCTTTTCAGACTTTGGACACCAATCACATCTGTGTGTCTGTTTCCTCATTATCTACGCTTTATTTTGATGGAGATGCTAGAATCAAGAGCATTGTTATTATTAAATTGTTAGTTATTCATAGAGATATAAACTCCCGTCCTTTGTGTGGATTCAAAGATTATATGACTTTTTTTAAGGCTTCATTCAGTTCTTGATATTTTTCTATACATCATACATCATTTTACTGTCTAACATGCTATTTTAGGTGCTACTGTATTTAATTTACGTGCCTGTGTGTCTTGTGTTCTGTATTGTGTTTTTATTGTGTTGTACCTTATACTCAGGGGATACCTCATATTGTCGTTGTTTTGCACTGCAGCACAATCACAATAAAGTCTATTTTCTCTAATGTGTTATATCCAAAATGTCTTACACCTAAATGGAAAAGTGCCAAAAACGTAGATAAAAAGCGTTACAAACATTACAAAAAGCATTTGGTGGCTACATTCCTACATGGTGATTTAGCATCTAAACCCTAATTTCATGCTCATTAAAGCTGAAGTTAATGTTGGTATGTTACCTTTGTCTGTCCAGACAAATTTTGATTGTTTCAAGAAGAGACATTTGACTCAATTTCCAGCTCTGATGAAAGCATTCAAGACCAAGTTTTTTGTCAACCAGTAAGGGTACAATAATCCTCTAAATTACATTGACTCCTACATAATGCAGCATCCTGTATCAGCTCTTCTGATGTCAGCCCAGTCGCCAGAAAAAAATGGTCACATTATACATTTCTGCAACCCCAATTACATCCACCTCCTCTCCTGCTCACCCTATAGGGACTTCCTAGCTCCTCATATTACTTTGTTACCAGTGGCATTTCAAACTGACTGCGTCTGGCGGTATTATGAACTGATACCGCCCGGCCCATCCTGGGAAAGGTGCCTTTTGCATCTGTATCTGACGCTGAAATCATTGACAAAAGGGGTTGGGTTTTGAGGAAATTTACCTCCATTAAGGATGAAAGTAAATGATGGAACCAAGAGAACACACATATGTACAGATTTCTATAACCTGCAACTTATATTTCAGGAATATAAATGTGTTGAAAGTGATGAATAACGTGAATGTTGCTGAATAATGAGCACATGGCACTCAGCCTCTCTCAGCAAATCAGCAATCAACAGCCTGACTCTATTTTTAAAATTAACCTCATCGTTGCTGCATTTATGAACACACTAAATTAGAACACTGATCAGTGAAATTAAAGTATAATGCTCCAAGAACTTTTATAAAAGTAGTTATTTTTTTAATTTCCAGTTAAGGCAATCCAATACAAAGCATTTCACAACCCACCATATGACAATAATCATGTACAATAAAAACCCATTTGAAGAAAGTAGAGAGTCATGCAAATCAGAAAACTCAAGAGATATAAACAACAAAGAGAAGTTATGGGAATAAACAAAAAAAAAAAAGAATATTAAAAAAAAGTGTTAACTGTAACATGCTAATTCAGCTACAGTTTTTAACCACTGGTGAGACAAAAAATGTTTGTAGAACCAGGCACGAGAGAGAAGAACAGTCCACAGAGCTTTACTGCCATGTTTGGCACTGACATGCATGTAATCTGGTTGGGCTAGTTCCTATTTTACAGATGGCGGCATTCTTCGACGCACCACAAGAAAACATGCAGTCGATTCATCATACTAATAAATCAGGGCATTAGAAGGTCACCATAATGACATAGACGACAGGAGCGATGGCTTTTCATACAAACTCCAAAAATAAATAAATATCTTCAATACAGTAATATTCCTAAAAATATATCAAACATATACAATGAGCACTCCTCGCAAGGATAAAGTGCTGTTGGGGTCAAACCAGCTGTTCGTACACTTTACATTCTGTTAGAAGTCCACTCTTATCTTTTCACTGTTAACTGTTTCCTCTCTCACACCACAGCGATTTACAAGCAAATAGCTGTTTGCCAAATAATTTTCTCTCCACCTAGCCAGAGCCATACTTATCCACCTGAGCTGCTTTTCAGCACAGGACTACATGAGATGCAGTGACTGCCTTTCACATTATTAAGGCCTTTAGTTTGCTACATTAGACATTTGAATAGACCCTTTTCAGCTCAGATTAATTCTGCCTCTGCAGCACTTTGTCGGTTCATAAAGAAAGGGCACCTTTTACAGGCTATTATACTCATTGTAGCACTGTTTTGTTTACTCTCTACACCAATGAGGGGTGCATGAAGGTTATGGAAGTAAATAAAACCAAGTGAAATTGGAGCAATAGTGCTTAGAGAAGAGCAATGGCTGTGGCGAAAGATTCGCAAAGATGGAAAAAGTAGAAGTAAGATTTAGAAGCAGTTTATGTCCACGTAATGCCAAAAAACAAAGGACAAAAATTAGATACAGCCATGTTGACAGCTCTCTGGGGCTGCACTGAGTCAAAGCATTGCTTTGGGCTAAATGCTAACATCAACATGCTCACAATAATGATGCTAACATGCTGATGTTTTAATGTTAATCATGTTCACCATCTTACCTTTGGGAGATTGGGATTGGGATACATCCTCTGAGGAATACGTCTGAGCCCAGATTTCAAGGCAATCCATCCAATAGTTAAAAAAGTCAATAAACTAAGTAAATGAAGACTCTCCATCATGTAGAAGTACCTTCTTTTTAATGTAGCATGTATGACTGCCTTCAATTTTTAGTCTGTCTACTGCCTGATTTATTTTTTTTATTAGGGTGTCCTGTTCCTTAAGTAGAAAAGCTGATGATATGGCCAGTGTACCAGAGCTGCAATAATTGGTTGATTGATCAATTTGTCGATCAACAGAAAATTAATTTGCAACTTAATAATAAGCAAAAATGTCACTGTTTCATGTGTCTTGAAGGTGAGGATTAGATGCTTTTCTTCATCAAACATAAAAATAAACAAAATAGTTTGGGATTTTTGTTCCTATACCTTTCGAAGACATCACTTTCGCTATTTTCTTAAGTTTTATTGGCCAAAGAATTGATCATTTAATCAAGAAAATAGTGTACCATGTCAATATAAACATGAGAAACAAGACAAACTGGACAGAAAAATTGTTACCGCAACTTGAGCAGAGAATACTATGTAATTTGTCAGATGGCAGGCGTGATGAGAGAGAAGATTTGAGTCTTACACTGCTTTCTGTACTTTAATCAAAAACTCTTTGTGGTTGTTATGATCCTACTTATGTACCCTTAATGATCAAAACGCCTCTACATGGATCATTTTCCTTAAATCTCATTTCTACAGTATGATCTCTGCATGTTTGTAAGGCAACACATCATAGGACCGTCAGGGCTTATTGTTGCATCATTGTGCAAGGACACATCTCAAATGACAAGCTTTGTTACTGATGCTGTAAAATTGGATTTTCTACGTAGATTCCTGTTTGTTTTTGTTTCTTCACACTAGACCGATGTCACAGATGGTAGGAGGCTATAGAAAGCCGAACTAAGATTAGAACAAAAGGATCCCTCTTTACCCTGTGGTACAGACAGATTGTTAATGTGTTTACACATGAGAGAATTACTTACGTACTGAATGTAATGAACATAAATCCTAAAGCTCCGGAGACCACTTGAGGATCCCACCAGAGACTTGTAATACACTGCTGCAAGGATCAGGCTGTATAAAATGTAAATCTCCATGGAGGCTGTGATTGCACCGACTTTAAGTGAGAAGTCTTTGACGCTGGAGGTTATGTGGCTGCTGATGCGTGGCCTCTCGGGGCTTACAAAGTCTCTGGGTTGCAGGCGTGGCATATTTTGGATCATATCAGGGCTGGATTAACTGGTGGTTGGGCCCTGGGGTAAAACTGAGATTTGGCCCCAATGAATCATCGTGTCTCCTTTGGTTGCCCCAAATTATTCTGCAACATAAACCCATCAGTGGGTGGGTGTTATGTTTCCCTGATGTTTGCTGTATGTCCCTTATTGATTTGTAATGTGTACACATCAATTTATGCATCAACTGAAATGGGTGAGCTACGAGAAAAAGATTTTGACTAGGGATGTCAGTTACGTTTAATTTTGCTTTTAAAAGCCCCAAACCTTTTCACCTGTAGCTTAGTGGTTAATTTTCATGACAAAATAGAGCCATTTTCCTTTTAGTTTGACCCTCTGTTGACTCAGTTAGCTTTAGCACCGCATTTCAAAGTGCTATCCATTTGGAGTTGGTGAAATGTTTGTGTTGTAATGGTTTTATTTCTGTTGGCTTTGCTGACAGACATCCAGCTAACATGTGGAAACATAGTGCCCACTGCCCACACTCTAGTCTCCACTGGTTAGCTAACTTTGGCCTTGGCCACTCTGCACCGTGCAACACGAGCCGATAGCATCGCTGCAGAAACATGGTGACCACCCTCTGGTGTCTCTCCCCATGTCACCCCCGTGAGTAGACAGCATAATTTTGAGCCGTAAAACCCCTTACCATTGTTAACTACTGTATGTTAGCACCAGTAGCCATACTGATACTGCTAACGTGCTAAAGGGGATTTGCAGTTCAATATTAAAACAGTTACTCATGGGGGCGACCTTGGAGAGAGTCTGGAGGGTGGGCATGCAATGTTTTTGCAGTGACACTGTCCTGCCATCATTGGTCAGGATGGCGTTACCAGCAGTAATCGCCAAATGAGTGCCGTTGTGAGCTATCGCCCATACGACTCAAGTGGTGCACAGCAGGGGAGCCAAGGCTAGGTAACCAGCGTAGTGTGAATACCTCATCAGCTTTGTTATTAATTCAGTACAGCACAGTGACAGTACTACTACTAAACTGATCAACGTGTAACCGGTCAAAATATTCTTGGCAGCTTACTTAAACAGTTAACGTTTGACACCCCTAATTTTGACACAGTGCCTCTCTGCAAGAACTGGTGAAAGCCATAAGACCCTTATTGTCCTTGGATATTGTGCTTTAGTGGTGTATATTACCTAAAAGTGGTATTAGTCAGACTAGAGCAAAGTAATATGTTGTATTTACTGTGTGTTACAAAAACACTACATTTTAAAAGAAACTCATGATTAATTTGTTAACGTTCCTCTTGTGCAACATTGTCCGTTGTGATGGCAATTCATCCTTATTGAATGAGAACCATAAACCAGCCTGAGACACATTTTCAGCATTGTATGTTAAATTGCAGCTGCAGTACAAAGATTTTTGAGTTGCATGAATAAATAAAATAAATTGAATGGCAGCTATCAAAATGATTAAATGTGATTAACCTGATAGCATCGTCATAATCTTGTCCTTGGTACAGAGACAGGTTGTGCTTTTTATATGCCGTATGAAAATAATTGGTGACCACTTCAAAACAGATCTATCAAATGTCCATGCCACTCTGAATAACACTGGAGAATAAATATACTGGGATATGGAGATTTAACTTCTCATACAACATGCTCTTATAAACATTTACCTAACAAAGAAGAGAGGAGGTGAAACCTCATGGTACGAAAAGCCTGAATAATGTTTGTAACGTAATAAATTGTAAACTACACACCTGTAGTTTTTTCTCCATCATAACCAATGCATTAGAAGATATGGAGACAATCCCCAAATATAAAAACTACTTCCAGAAGGTAAAATGTGCCTAAAAAATATCACTGCATTAGGCCACCAATGACTGACGAGCAAGGCTTAGGTCAAAGTTCACATGTCCCGATACACTTAGAGAAACAACCACAGACAGGCACAAGTTTTAACCACAACATGACCTCTTTGAACCAACCTGCTGTCAAATTAGATGTGAAACAGTCACTGCCTCAGTGTTGATTTAAAAGGCGTTCACCAACGAGTCCTGGAAAGTTTGAGCCTCTCTTTAAGAGAAATCATCCAAATGAACATATCACAGAAAAACAAACCAAGAAAAAAATGCTGCTCCGATAGTCACTGGGAGGATACGGCACAAAATTCAACACCCATTTCCTGGTGCGTCAGCTCCTGTTTGCACCAAAAAACAGGAGGCAGAGTTCCCACTGGACTCTGTGTGGCTGCTGCATGCTGTCAGTCTTCAGTGAAAAGCCAAGAGGAGGGCTTCAGATCTGTGTGTGGTGGTGGTGTGTGTGTCCGGGTGGTGTGTAGGGAGGTGGCGCCGGATTGGGTTTGATCCCCCGGCTCTTCATGTAAGAGATGAACTGGTCTGGGATCTCTGCTAGCACGTCTTTAGCGAGCCGAGCCATGCTTAACACGTGGTTGCCTGTCCGGTCCATGTAATCTCTGAAGGGAACAAACTGGGGAGGAAGACAAGAAAGTTGAATATCAGTATGCTTACACACAATAGTAACTGAGATGACCTGAGAACATACGATTTCCTCTGTCAAGTAAATTCCATCTAGAGAATTTGGACTACTGTTGTAGTGTTCATGAAAAGCTCTAAATACTTTTGAAAATGTACACAAGTAGGTTTTGGGAGCACGGTGGTACTGAATGGAGAAATCTAGAGGGCTCATGTTTAAGCCCCTGCTTTAGTCAACATTTGCCAGATCCTGCAAGCTTTAGGATGCTGATTTGTCACTAATCCTTTGCTCTGGCTCCCCTCAGGAGTGAGAGGAAATAAAATGAGCCCAAGTGAAAAGATATGATTTTCTACTTTGGCTTTGATAAAATAACTCAGAATTTTTATGTCTTTTGTATTATTTGTCACAGCACATCAAGGTTTCCCTCAAGAAATAATTTTGCAGAAGTACTGAGCCACCTACACCTGACATCTCCGCTATAAAACTCTAAACATTGTCCTTTACCAACTATTCAGTCACATAACTTTTTGGTTTTGACACTACAGAAACAGAGAAATTACACCTCAGTGGCCCTGTGAATGAGACACATGCGGTTTCCTACAGTGACAGATAATATCAAACTTATTAGTGTACTGGTCTCCATGGGAATTCACAGAAAGCACACAGATGTCCTAATCTGTTACAGTTGCCACTGCCAACAGATGGTGTTTTGTCAGAAACAGGCATTTAATGTACCAGCACAACTGAGGCAACAGCATGAATGTAAAATGCAAATGTAAAAATATGACACAGAACGTACTGTAAATCACTGGAAACACTTCACTTGCTGGAAGAGAATATTTGAATGTTTGTCTGATGCCTTTGAGAAAAACTGGGAACCTAACCCCCAGTTGCTGTCTTAGGTGCCACGAGTGTTCGACCTTTGGCAGACAAGTATGAAACTTGGCCGTTTCATTTGGTGTGTGGTTGTGGCAAGGAAACTTATTCTACTTATGTGGAAGTCAGACTGTGCCCAACTTATGATATGTGGATAAGAGAGCTGATGAATTTACTGTATTTAGAAAGGTTAAGGTTTTCTAATAAGAATATGACTCAAATATTTGTCAGAATTTGGAATATACCCCCTATCGCTGTGTATGTGTATCTTATTTTACTAGTAATATTGAAGTCCTAGGACTTGTTTTCTGCCTGTGAGGATATTTGTGACTGAGTTGTTAAAATTATGTACTGAGCATTTTTTTTAATATTTAAAATCCTGATGTAATGGTTGAAAAAAAAAATGGGAACACTGACTACATACACAAAATATTCTGGTTTTTGCACTTAGTCCTAAAAAGATAACATTCTGAGTAAGCTGTTTACATGGCTAATGAAAAAAAATATTCCACTAATATTCCTGTTTGCGGCAGCACAGCAGTGCAATGGTTAGCATTGTCACCTCACAGCAAGAGGGTTTCTGGTTCAAACCCAGGGTGGGGGCGTCAGCGCGGGGTTTTCTCCAGGTACTCCGGCTTCCTCCCACAGTCCAAAGACATGCAGGTTAATTGGTGACTCTAAATTGCCCGTAGGTGTGAATGTGAGTGTGAATGGTTGTCTGTCTCTATGTGTCAGCTCTGCGATAGTCTGGTGACCTGTCCAGGGTGTGCCCTACCTCTCGCCCAGTGTCAGCGATCTACTGAATTCCCGTTTGCATGCAGCTGTGCATACACTACATGTTGTTTATCATGTGAAAATATGCAAACTCAGCCTCGTTCTTTCTCTCCTCTAACCATCTTCTTGAAAAGGTCAGGTTGCAATATTTGCACATATCCTAAAATCTGTTGTTATCCAAGTCTTTCAGTAGATGAGTTTCTTCCTCTGACCAGAAATATGGGCATTTCCTTTGGGAATGTGTCTCTACCCCTGCCTTGCAAACTGCTGGCGAGTTGGTTTGTGTTCAACTCATCCATGACAACGCTGTTGCCTATAAACAGTGATCTGTATCTGGTGGCCAAAAACTACATGCTGGATAAATGCTTATAGACAGTATATTCTGTTATCTGGACACGGTTGCAGTCGAAATTTTAGAGTCATTTCTGGAATTCAGTGAACTCGGTTGTCAGTTCCTGGTCTTGATCTGCAGTGAATACGGTCAAGGTCTCTTTCACACTGTAAAGGGCAGTCACCTGAACGATGTCTCTCTCTGCCAGTTTCCCTCGGGACGAGATCCTGATGTCATCGCCATCCAGCTCCACCATAGCTGTAAGACACAAGTTCACACACATGCATGGATGCATACGAACACACAGTGTGGGAGCATAGCAGAGACGGTTGCCTGTAGGTCAGGGACAAGGTTTATATGCACTACTGATGTACAGGTTGAGATATTAATACAGAATCTTTTTGCTTTAACATTAGTAAAGAAGAGAGGGTGTAGAGCTACACAGCTGTAATATGTCTTTATTGCATGTCTAATCAACTAATAAGTCTTTTATTATAGTCTCTGTGCAATTTAAAATCATCTGTACTAAACACTGCAAACCCAGTAATTAACCTCAGCCAATTCTTCTACAGTTGTGCCTGCATCCACCCACGCCTTCCCTTCTCCACTGACACAAATTAGTTTGTACAGAGATTTTCTCTCGGGTGTTTCTCTGAATTGGTGCCAGAGAGGTTAGCGCTGGCTGTAACAATAATAGACTGTGAGTTGTATAAATTAAAATGTCAATTATTGACCCATGTTTTAACTGAGTTGATTTATGTAGATGGTACAAAAAATGACAGAATGTAACACTGCTGTTCTACAAGATGTCTTGTGACATCTTGTGTGTGCCTGCCATCACAAAATTACCAGATTACCTAATAATTTTGTTCATGCAGCAGTTAAATAAAAGTCACTGTACCGTCAAACTCAGCCTGACCAACTCCAACTATGATGATGGACATGGGAAGCTTGGCACCCTGCAGAGAAATCAAAAAGGACATATCTTAACAAATATGTTCACACTTCTTTTATTCAAAGAGAGGAGAGAAGCTTGTTCGCATCACTGCTGACCTGAAGCGCTCATTACGGTATATCAGACATCCTGGCCGTTACATGCTCACCCACGTTGGTTACAACCACACTAATGTTCTGTATCACCCTTTAACTAGCTATATGACCTTTAAGTAAAGACAGGGCCTCCGGAGAGAAATAGAGCATGAGTTGGAGTCGGAGAAAGACAGCCTAACAGGGAGATGCTTCAACAGAAACTTGTTTTTGTCTCTGCTTTTCTTATCCCAGATGTTCAATGTGCCTGAATCCAATTTGCTGTCGTACGAATGCTCCCCGGCTCTTATCTTGGGGTGACACACACTGTATTTACCCACTGAATGCTGGTTATCAGGCCGGGGAGTGGAGATTAAATTGACAACACTAATGGCGTCCCCTGAGAGATGGGGCCAGCAGGTCAGCAGTATCGGTACTAAAGCTGTTTTCACAGCTTAAAAAAAAAGAGTCAAATTTATCCCCAGATTTCCCAGCTTAGATCGACAAAATGCTGACCTGCAAAAAGAGATGAATTTTGACATTACACACTCTTAAAAAGCTGGTTAAGGCGAAAAGGAGGCATTTGTTCACAGGAAGGAAAAAACAGCGTTGGCAGATAGACTCCATGATAAGGTCTTATATGGCAGGTGTGTCATGGTGGCATTTGTGAGCTGGGAGAGGAAGGAGAGGGAGGAGGCGCCTGCTTATATCAGTACAGCGACCATCCTCAGTTACCCGCCCAGCCACTCCCAAGCCACACCTCAAGTCAGGTAACTCTGCTGTTAGGCTATGAACACCTGCCTCCTCTATGTTGGCAGATAGGACATGGGCGAAAATTAAAGATTGAAAAACACGTCAAATAAATTTTTCCCAAAAACAGTTTCTGTCATTTTAGGTAGTTATCACACTGATGAAAGTTTAGGAGCTCAAGTTTGGTTTTATTAGTTATTTGATTCTATAAAAAGGTTTGATGTCATGACTGACAGCTATGTGTGCCAATTGGTGGTGCTGCTTGGTTGGATGAATGTATGGGTGGGAAATAAGTACCACAGAGATTGCTACTGCGCAGACTCTTTGGCTTAATGTTTGTACAGTGGGAAGAAGTGGAGACACATTGGACCAAAGGGGTGGTCTTTGTCTGACTTCATGTATAACAGTCCAACTAGTTAACTAGTCCAAACCCATTGGTAGCTTTGTCACCTTCTACCTATGCCAATCCTCAATGCCTATGTGCAGTTTCACATAGATTGACCACGTCAGTGAGCAGAAAAACGTGGACAGACAGAATGACTGACTGTTTCCGTGATTATGTACAGCATACCATACCATGACTTAGTCATACCAAAAATTAGAAAACAAAAAAACATTCAGCCACAGGGGGAACCACAGCGATCGGTCGCATTTTAGCCATTTTTAAGCATTTTTCTGTTGTTATAGCGCCACCCAGTTGCCAATTAGAGTTAAATTCCTCCAGTCACCTTGAGGCGTCCTGTTCTACATATCTACCAAGTTTAGTAAAAATCGATATGGCGGTTAGGCCTAGATAAGAAATTAGCTCTCTAGCGCCCCCATTTTGTCTGATCGGGTCAATAATGGAGGGGTCCCCTCAGATTATGTGTGGTCATATGCCTACAAAGTTGTGTGGTGATTGGTGAAACCTTCGAGATGTTATACACCTTTATGTGATGAGCCACGCCCTCCGCAATATTCATTGCCTTATAGAAGCTCAGTTTTAATAAGTTTTCCAACTTTTGCCAAGAGGGAACTTTAGATATTGGTCCCTAGATTATGTTCACCGAGTTTCATGCAGATGGGTCAAACTTCCTAAGAAGAGATCAATTTTAAGTGTTTTTCAAAAAATTCAAAATGGTGGAAAATCTATATAGCTAACCGGAGGTTATGGGTTCTTGAGGCAAATTTGTTCCTCATGAGGAGAGGCATCTCTGTGCTAAGTTTCATGTCTCTACGACATACGGGGCATGAGATATGCCCATTCAAAAATTTCAATTGGTTGTTATAGCGCCCCCCTTTGGCCAATTGATGTAATATTGCTTCATTCGCATCCTCCCATGACCCTCTACCACTGTGCCAAATTTCACATGGATTGACCAAGTCAGTGAGGACAAAAACGTGGAACAGACACACAAACAGACACACCCACAGAGTTTTCGTCATTTTATAGTAAGATTGACGTCTAAGCACAGTAAGTTACATATTTGTTTTTATTAATATCATGAATCAATATACTTTAAAAAAAAAGGCTAAACAAGCTTGAGTGACCCAAAACAAAAATTTAAAGCTTAGATCAACTGACTTGTATTAAATGCAACTAAAGTAACAAGTGCTTGAGTCACAGCTATGACAGGTCATGTTATCGTCTGCTGTAATTTCCAGTTAGATGGCAACATAAATGCTCAACACAAAAGCTGCTATTATGAGTTTTTTTTTCCACGGCCACATATTTTCACAAAGCAGCTCTAACAAGTGTGGTTTTATCTCTGGCACGAGACAAATGCGCCGTGGCAATCAGGCAACCTCTTTTGCCACGGGGGTGAGAGCAGTTTCTGTCGACACCACCTTAGTCGAAGCACATCAGCGCGATTATCAGTGTTCAACACAACTCCTGTCAGTGCCTGTCCGCCCACTCACATGCACACACAAACACTCACACTCGCGGATACATACACACACATCAAACGCCACCAAAAATAACCTGGCAATCCACCGTGCCCCACTTTTGCCATTCTCCTGTCACTGTGACTGGCAGTGGAGAACCAGTCTAATGAGACAACAAAACAAAGCGTCAATCAACACTCATTACCCCGACAGCTCACTACTTCATGTGCTGCTTAAGCCCAAATGTCATGCATGTGCACGCTTTGATGGGTGTGTGCTCTCACATATGCAGCCACACACATGCACGCACGGACAGGTTTATGGACATAGGGTTGGAGAGGTGACTGTCCTGCCAGCACAGGGGTCACCTGAGTCACTGGACCATCTCTCATTGGCTGTCTCAGAGCTCAGCTCAGAGAAAAGCTTAAGGCAGCAGATTGAGGACACTTAAAAACCAGCTGAATGCAGATAGGAAGTAGCATGGAGAGTAGCACAACCAGTTGTAGAATAGAATGTCAGAAATAATCAGCTACTGTCATGAACAGTCCTCTGTCCTTCACATGTTGACAGTCTTTGTTGGAAAGAACATAAAGGCAGGGCTCCTACAGGTCTGTGAAAGTTTCTGAATTTGAGAAAATGTTAATGGATTTCAAAGTTTTTGATCACATGAATAGGCACGGGTCATTAAAGTGCTTGAATTTGCATATTTTGTGCAATAATAGAAATCCTCCATCTCTATCGCTCAACATGCACAACATTACTTTGCTGCGTGTTAAAGAGATCACATAGTCCATCATCACTGTAACACAGCACAAGTGTTCACACACTAAAGCCTCTTGCTGTTTTTAATTGTTGTATGTGAGCTTTTATAAAGCCTGCTAGTCCTCATACAAAAATTTCCAGTGTTTTAACAGTAATTAACCTTGTTGCAAGTCTCAAACTATGCCATGTTGGGGCCTTCAGTTTAATGGAAATGGGCCTGGGAAGTCATTGAAAAGTCCCTAATTTTGATGTTTAAAAAATGTGTGGGAACACTGTGAAGGATTTAATGAAAATAAGAGCTTTTAATGTTTCAGAACACTTGTTAATGCTATCACACACTTCACTATTCAGGCGCACATTGAATTTGCCCATGATAATCTAAAATTGTGGGTTTCTTTACTTGTGCTGCTTTAATAACTGTACTTCAATAACTTTAATCTTGAATAAGTTTAATTACATTCATGCATTGGAGAGCACATACCTCTGCCAAGGCAGCACAGTTCTTTCAATTGTTGTTTATAGAGCAGACGATCTTAGATATGCTGCTAATTAACGGGATGAAATAGAAGAAAAAACATTTTGGTGGAGTTAACAACCTTCATTAAACAGAAATTGACAATTAAGGTACTGTATTTCGGCACACACATGTCCAGAGGGCCCTGCATTAGGGAAGCCTAACCTTGTTCATTTTGGCAAATGTCTGTGAAAGACAGTAATGTAGTATGTGAAAAGATGTGGCCACTGTTTTAAACGCAGCTCCTCTGTAATTAATGCAACTTTAGCTTCAGTAACTTTGCACAGTATCATGTAGCTATCAAGCAATGCTGTAAAATTTCCTTTTACAGCACTGCTGCTCCAGACTAACTTTTTCCACCAGTAGCACTGCGGCTACTGCGGCCCTACTGAGAATTTTAGGAGCACCAACATAAAATTTAGGAGCACTACTTAAATCTACATGCAATGCAACACAATCATTTTTTCCATCTTAACTAGGAATGATGAGGAAGATGGTAGCGCATGTACATGCAGTGGCTCAGTGCTCTATGCATTAGTGCTCTTTTGTTAGTTTACTGGTGGTTTACTTTTAAATTCCTTGGCATACACATTTCAGAGGACCTCTCATGGACAACAAACACCAGGGCGCTAGTCAAGAAGGCACAAAAGCAGCTACACTTCCTGAGGACGCTCAGGAAGGTAAACCTGTCACAACAGCTTCTGGTGTCATTCTACCACTGCTCCATTGAGAGTTTCCCCACGTATGGCATCCTTGTGTGGTGTGGTAGCTACTCTGCAGCAGATAAAAAGCCTCTGCAGAGAATCATAAAAACTGCACAGAACATCAAACAACAGCTACCTGCCCTGGATGACATCTTCACCTCTTGCAGAAACTACATAAAACCCTGAAAGACCCCTTCCATCCTTCTCATCACCTGTTTGAACTGTTGCCTTCCATAAAACATGACAGGTCCATCAAAACACACACCACAAGATCCAGTGTCTACCCCAAAGCCATTACCATACTGAACTTTGAACTGAAGCAAACTCACTAAAACACATTACAGTTCTTTTTCTTCAGTGCAATAACTTATTTTATGTGCAATAATATGCATGAGCACTTTTTTTTTTATCCCATTTTAACTGCAAACATTGGCAATGAGTGTATGGAGTATATCTACAAATGTGTAGCATATGAGGGGAATGGAGGCATATATTTGTTCATTTTTATTACTATTTTATTACTATTTATTATTTACTTTTATATACGAGTCCCGTCCCTGAGCGCACCTGAATTTCATTGTAGATTTGTATAATGACAATAAAAAATCTGAATCTGAACTGTATCACTGATACGTGCTTTGGTAGTAAATAGAAAATTTACAGAAATTACAATGTTCTGTTTTATTTAAAGGAAAAAGTTACAAACCCAAAGCTACTTAGCTCTGATGTTTGCTGGTGTTGCTGGGAACACACCTCGACTTACCCATGTTTATACTATTTAGATGCAGCATTTCAAGGTGCCTAAATGTGGAAGTGTCCAAATATGATATGAGTAAAATGTGTCAATATCTGTACTCGTGATGAAGGAAAATTCTCGTCTGGGTAACTATGTTCAATGTCTTACTCTTTTCATCAAAAATGACCTGAAGCTTAATTATGAATCTGTTTTGCGAATAGTTTTCTAATGAACAATAAATATAACAACTTCTGGTCAACCCATATCAATTTCAGGTTAAAAACTACAAGTTACGATTAGACTCCACCCACTTCACATTTAAATCCCACCTGTTCATAGTCTAAGCCCCGCCCATTCCAAGTTTAGATACAGATAATTTAGTTGGGTAAACACAGTCACAGATGGAGATAATGGTATACTCGCTTATTCCTATTTGAAATGATATACAATGATGAGAATATAAAATAGGGGGTATATCTGCAAGTCACACTGGTGCTCATAGTTATAAAATTTTGTCTGTCTCCAAAAACAGAAGCAAAATGTGACTAGAAACATTTAAGACTCAGTCGAAGAAGGATTTTGCAGCTAACTTATAGAGCTAATGTTAGCTTAATTAGCCAGCTGCTGACAATTGATTAAATCTGCAGACAGTTGTCATTTCAATTCAGGTTGGCAGTTGTAAATGAGAAGCTGCTTTTGTCTACCGCTGTCTGAAATCAGTGACTGTTTCAAAAATAACAAAAGAAATTCAGTGCTAAATCTGCCACCATGTAAATGTAAACTACATGTGTATTGTGCAAGAATGGAAAGCTTGACAGGTATAGCAACAATAACTAAGTGGGCAGGGCTTGGCAAATGGGAAATTATTGTATTATATGCCCAAGTTTATTACTTTGAGGAAATTGAAAATGTAGAATCATGACAGGATCATGGCATACCTACGAACTGTTACCACTGGACCTTGGATCCTGCACACTGAATAGTTTATACAGAGCAAAGGGCTGTGGAGCCTGTCTTGAGTCATGAGTCGCTTTTACACTGCCTCTTCAAGGTGGGAATTTCAAGATGTTATTCTGATAGAGTCATGGGCAGCAAGGGTGTGATGTTTTGATGATGTGTTATGCACACAATCAACTGTAATTTAAAAATGTAGCTGATAGCAGATAGCAGCTAACTCAAAGAGGAAGAATAGTGGCCAAAAATGTTTGCAAATTAGGAAAGTCCGGAGACTCCTTAGCCTCGATGTTGCATGTGTTATATGTCACACTAGAGGCTGACGCTGTTGTGTTAAACATCACACCCGCAACGCCTCTTTTGATTCCACAATGCTGGTATTTTGTCTAACATGACACACTGGAGCGCAGTGATGCCGCGATCATTTGGTTCTGTGAAAAAAATGCAAATGCGGCATTAAGAATGGCCTTGGAGGTCTGTACAGTACTTGCTGCTGTTCTGTTTATATAGAAATGTTTTAATTTTCTCGGTTTCACATCACCTGGTGTCCTGTTACCTCTTACACAAAAAAAGTTCGGCATCAAATGAACGGGGGTGAAATGGTTGTGAAGTGAAGTACTTTTGGTGGGCCCTGGCACTGATAAAGAGATGAAGCACACAGCACTGACAGATAACAAGGAGATGTGAAAAGAAAGAAATCAAAGGCAGCAGAGGATTCTGTCACAGACTGAATGTGGTGACAGAAGAAGATGAAGAGATTTAGATCTCCGAGAGGGTAAAAGATGGAGAGAGACAACACAAGTCTTTGTATTTGTGAGCGAGGGCTACAGAGAGAGGAAGAGAATGAGGCAGCAGAGGGAGCCGAGCCGTGAGCAGAGGAGGGGGATGCTGAGTGATTGACAGGTGTGTTTCTGTACTGTGGCAGCTTCTGTTGTGACTGATAAACCCCCTTTTGTTCCACCACATGGGTCTATATTACTGAAAACATGGCGGACACATGAGCAAACATCAACCAAATCACAGAGAAACACCTGCATGCACAGATGCATATCCACTCCAGATGTTACCACTCAACATACAGAGAGGAGGAGTGGACATTCAGGGCACCTCTCACTTCCTCTCACTCTTTCTTGAAAATACCTTCCAGCATGAATAAGTATAACCTCAGCAGCGTGTCCTCCCTCGCCCAGGATCCGTGGAGAGTTAAAGGGAAAGCGGTGGAAGCATCAGTCAGAGTGGAGGCAGTGAGATAGAGCAGCAGGCAAGATCTTAAAAGGAAGGTGTGGCTGTTCTAATGTTTTGACTAACAGTCGCAAATTCCCTTTAAATCCAGTCTGCTGGGTGTTCTGTGCCTGCGGCGGGCTGAGGAGGAGGAGGAGGAGGCGGTGGAGAAAAGAGGAAGAGGCCGAGGAAGAGGAAAGGAAGCCAGCCAACTACTATTTAAAGCTGGGAGGAAAAAAAGATTTAGGGCAGGTTTTGGGGAAAGCTCAGAGGAATAAAGCACAATGATGTGTTTTTTATTGACAGAGGCAGGTACATCATTTCAAGTGTGGTGTCTTATAAATATGTTGACTACTTTTTTGTAAGAAAGGGAACACATTTGTACCTTAAGGACAAAGGACTTATTCACAGCAAGAACACAATCATGTGTTGAGCTACTTTGGTATGGCTGTCAGGTAAATCATTAGTTTATGTACTTATCTTGAAGTAACAGAAGAAAATGTCAGTTATGTGAAGCCATTATGCCACTTCCTTTTGCTTTACAGATTGCAGAACAACTGCTACTGTCACGTGCCTCCTGCTTTGTTTGAATCAGAATGACAACTACAATGAACATCTGGGATTCATGTTTTTGTCTGCGAGAGAGAAAGCTTAACAACTATGCAGCATCCACATACTCTAACTGAAAAATGAATTGATTAATAATAACTAGTCCATACCCATTGAGTGCACAGTTGCCTATGTACAGTTTCACATGGTGTGTGTTTATGTGTATATCATTGTAAAATGATTGTCTTTTGGTGGTGGACTGATCATCTAACAAAACTAACCTAATTAATATGTCACCTAACTGTAGTAAAGTGCAGTTGGCATTTTTTACCATTTCTTGACTTTTAATTCACTTTTAATTAATCAATTACCTGAAAAAAAAATTACATATTTATGTTAACCCAAAATACGCTGTTTTCTAACTTAACCAAGTAGTTGTGTTGCCTTAATCTAAATGTGACTGTCTGAAAACCCAGGAGGCAGCTTCACCAACATTAAAGGGTGCGTCTCATAGAGACACCAAATATTTCAATATTTGACAACCTGGTATGACAACCTGTTTGGTTGCCAGGCAACCAGCAGAGGTGTTACCTTTGGACAGAGGTGAGCTAGCTGTTTTTTCCTGTGTCAGTGTTTATGCTAAGCTAAGCCAACGGTCTGTAGTTTCATATTTATTTTACAGATTTGAGAGTGGTATCAAATGAGCATTTATCTCAAAATGTCAATTCATCTTTCACTTCAAACGTACTTCCTTTAAGTTCATACCAGATGAAACTTTGCATATCTAGTCTTAACCCATATAGTGCAGTAAAGCACTGTGTCTCCCCCCTTTCCCGTTCTTACATTCACAATGGCTTCTTTGGTCTGGGCCATGTCAGAGATGACGCCATCTGTGATGATGAGGAGCACGAAGTACTGAGAGCCGTCCTGCACCGCAGCTGCATACCTACACACACACACACACACACACACAGAAATAAGCTGTATAATCTCTTTAATACAAGAACAAATCTGCCTTGGGATTTATTGACAGACTAATCGAAACACTGATGTAGAAAATAAATCCATGACAATACATGTCTTATCATGCGCTCTCACCACAGGCAAATTCAATAAAAATGTTCTTTGTTTTTTCTGTACTTCAGTTAACACTCATTAAAATGCCTCACAAATAGGTTAATCAGCCCAAACAATCAGGTTTGAAACAAAGCCGGCTCACTGTGTTTGATTCACAGATTAACACCTTTGTGTAAAATATCTCCCTACTTGAGTTCACCTATTGAAACACTAAATACCCTTACTGGCTGTGCATTCTTGCAGCTACAGTATGGCTCCCTGCTGCAGTGTTAAAAGCGAGACTCCATTTTTTATCAGAATGACATTTTTAATTACAGCAGAGCGCTGGCGTTATCAGATGGAGAATTGTTTGGATATGGCTCAACGAATGAGATAGTGAGGGTAGCGATGACAGCGAGAGGTGGAGGTGGGTGTTGGGGACACAAGAATCCACTCAGATCATGTCACAGTTTGCATAGTGTTATGATATGTGATATGCCAGTATATGTTAATGGCCACAGGTCCATTTGTTCCATCAGCTGAAGCCGCCACTGTGATAGCTGTCAGCTAATCTAAATTCATTTTCAAGCATGTTGCATCCTGTTTGTGGAGTCTGGCAGGACAGACGCAGGAAATCAAAGTCAACTAAGGCCAGCAGTCGAAAATGGTGATGTTATTTTGATAATTGGATTCTTATAGAAAATCATAATCTTGATAATCTGTTTGTGAACGCTGTGGCACAAAAGACTAAATATTTCTGAATTGTTGATCATAAACAGATCAATTTTCAGCAGGTCTGTTGGAAAAGTATTAAACAATGTCTCCTGCTCTCTGCTTATAACTGTGTTTTTGGTATTTGAATAGAAAAATGAATAATGTAAAAATGTGAAAATGGAACAAAAATGACAAAGTCCAAACCATCACCATATAAAATCCAAACTTGCATTTTGAAATTGCTTGGTCCTGCTTTAGACCAATTCATATTCATGAAAGCACGGGTGAAAATAGACTTTGCAGGACTCTTGCTGTTGGTATAATAGTAAACGTGACAAATGGAAGGGAGTGATAGACTTGTGCAGTCTTGTCATTGTTGCTTTGCCACTTTAATAGGAGCAAAAGCAATTCACCAGATGCATTGCTCTCTCACCTGGCAACATGGTTCACCACAGGAGCGAAATTTGTCGGCCCGTACAGCTGCACTGTCTTCAGGCTCTGGTGGTATGCCTCTAAGATGCCCTCAATACCATTGCAGTATGGATTTTCCATGTTTCCATTCTTAAAAGGAGAGAAAGGGTGAAAATCAATTTCAAGGACTTGATGAATACATTTATCAAACAGAAATTTTTTTTTTTTTCAATGCACATTAGATGTGATTTAGTTGTTTCCTGTTACCGGGTCATGCACTCATTCCATAAATTAGAATGAACACAGTAAGTTAGAAAGACGATTCAGTGGTATGATGTAGGAAGTTGGTGATAAAAAGCATGAAATAGCCTTGATAAAAATCTATTGAACTGCTTAATCAGAGGTGAAATAAGGAGACTTCACCAGTGGAAACTCATGTGACACCCGTCCATCAGGGGGCAGTTTGGCTCCAAAGCCCAAAGCGGGGAACATCTTGTCACTGTCGTAGTCCTGAATGATCTCCCCGACAGCCTTCAGGGCCATGGCGTAGGCGTTGAGCTGGTAGGGGTTCATGTAGTGCAGCGAGGTGGACTGGGAGGGGTTACCTGTCGCCCAATCAATCAAACTCGAGGTCATTGTGGGTAATGAGGGACAAAGATGTCACTTCTAAAATGCAAGGTGCTGTTTTTGTGCAATGACATGACATAAAAAACAATTTTGTTTGCTGCAGCCATGGATCACAATTAACATCAACCCTGTCAGACATATTCCGCCCTCAGAGATGATGAATCAAAAGTTTAAATTCAGAAGTTTGTGACACAATCAAGGCCAGTCCATTAACAAACAGTGGGAGGAAAGCCACCGTGAGAATGGAATACTTCCATTAATTAATGGAGCGTTTTAAAAAAAAGCTTGTCAATAACTGTGACCTTCTCGAATATCCACTCTGAAATAACACACCATGAAGTCATTTAGTGTTAACAACCAGCTGGGACATTCTGAGTTGTATTTTAGAAAATATTGCACTCAGTGAGGTTGTAGGTGACATGTGCTCAGGTGCTCAGCTTCTGATGAGTTGCACCTGCTGTCTGATAGCAGAAATCCTGCTGAGGGCTCACAAGATGCAACACAAGTGAGTCCAGAGTGTAACAAGAAATTATATGTCACCTTGACCAACATTATGGCTGGAAATCAACAGTTTGGAGTGCTTGCCAAGCCCCACCCCCCTTAGTTACTGTTGCTAAGCCTGTCAAGATTTCTTTTCCTCCACAGCACTGATAGTTTGTTGACCTTAGGCGTTTCAGCAACAATGCAGTGCTCCAACTCTTTCATTTTGTGTTTCAACTCCCTGTCCGCACCAGAAGCTGTGAATATGTAGTTATGTAAATTAATATCTGCTACTTGTGACAATCTTACGCCTACATTTGTGCAAACTTCTGTCCTGCTTTGTAATATATAACATACAGTATGAAACACTGGCAGCAGCAGCACTCTGAGAAACCCTGTTTACAATAACAAAAATTAAATGCAACACTTTTCTTTTGGCTCCCATTTTTTACAAGTTAAAGTTAAAGATCTAAGACTTTTTTAATGAACTTAGTAGATGTATTCCTCCAAAATTTTTGTTGCAGATTTGTTGAAATCGGTGTTAGCAAGCACTTTTCCTTTCCCAAGATAATCTATTCACCTGACAGGTGTGGCATATCAAGATGCTGATTTGATCGCATCATTACTATACAGGTGTGCCTTGGGATGGTCAATAAAAGGCCACTCTTAAATGTGCAGGTTTATCTTGTAAACAGACATTTATTGGGATTTGACATGACTGGGACTACAGAAATGTCCAAAGAATCAGTCAGTATCTGGTGTGACACCAATGGCCTCACACAATGCGACACATCCCCTTCACATAAAGTGGAATGTTGGCTCAACTTTCTTCTTCAATGGCTGTGTGAAGTTTCTGGATATTGACAGGAATTGGAACATGCTGTCGTACCAGAGCATCCTAAACATGCTCAATGTGTGACATGTCTGGTTAGTACGCAGGCCATGCAACAACTGGGATGTTTTCAGCTTCCGAGAATTGTGTACAGATCTTTGCAACATGTGGCTGTGCATTATCATGCTGCAACATGAAGTCATGGCGGCGGGTCTCAGGATTAGGTCACTTTCTGTGCACTCAAACTGCCATCAATAAAATCCACCTGTGTTCATTTTTCGTAGCTTTTGTCAGCCCATAGCATAGACCCACTGCCAACCTGTGGCACTCTGTTCACAGCACTGACAATAGCAAACTGTTCGCCCTCACAATTCCAGGCACAGCATCTGCCATCTGCCCGGTACTGTGTAAACCAAAGTTAATCTGAGAAGAGAACACTTCTCCAAAGTGCCAGACAACATTATAGGTGAGCAGGTGCCCACTCAGGTTGGCTATGATGACGAACTACTGTCAGGTCAAGGCCCTGGTGAGGATGACGAGCATGCAGATGAGCTTCTCTGAGACAGTTTCTGATGGTTTGTACAGAAATTGTTTAGTTGTGCAAAACAACTATTGCATCAACTGTTCAGGTCACTGGTCTCTGACTAGATGAAGCTAGATATGGAGATCCTGAGCTGGTGTGGCTACACTTGGTTGACTGGTTGGGTGTACTGCCAAATTGACAGACACGACATTAGAAATGGCTTACATTCGTGAAATGAACATTTGGCTATTTTCAGTTAATCAGTTATTTATTGGGACCATCCCAAGGCTCACCTGTGTCGTAATGATGCTGTTTAATGAGCATCTTAATATGCATGCCACACCTGTCAGGTCGATGGAAAAAGAAGTGCTCAATGACAGATTTTTCCAAATTTGTGACCAAATTTAAGAGAAATAAGTCTTTTGTGTGCATAAAAAAAGTCTAAAAGATCCTTTTCTTTAAACCTGTGACAAATGAGAGCAAAAACAAAAGTGTTGTGTTCATTTTTTAAGTACCTACGTTTTCCTCTTATCACAGACCTGTGGAATAATCCAAAGCTTGACGGACCTGCTATGCATAGTTACGGTTGCTAAGCTGTTATTATTGCTGTTCCGGGGATGGGTTTAGCAACAATCAATTACGAAATGGTAAATTAAAATTTTCCTCTAATAACTGTGATTCACACTGAAGAGCTCTTCCTTGCGGATACATCTTTTGGAGCGTTGTGTTCAGGCATTATTAATGGCATAAGTAGTGTAATTAGACTTAAGTGTAGTCTTTTCATGTCACGCTGAGGGTTTTTACCCCATTTGCTTAATTTTATTTTTCGCCAAAATACCTGCTGTAGCCTTTATTTAGCGTGTATTGACAGAGCATTTAGGAGGACAAGATATCCAGGAAAGGCTATCACTTACAGTGACAATGTGTGTACAGTATGGGCACCCACACCGTCTGCTTGTCTGTCTGTTTGATTGATTCTGAAATCGGACATGCCACAGTCAAAGAGCACTGCTATCTATTCTTGCTCGCCCCTCCACACACACACTTTGCCGTTAGTATCACTCACCATTAGATGCTGTGAAATCGATGGCCACAGTGAAATTGATCTGCGTCCTGGAAGGAGGATGGAGAGGAGGACATGGGGGAAAATATCAACGACAGAGACTCGGCAGCAATAACAACAAGCCAGGCCACATTAAATTCCAGTGCTCTCGCACCCAGTCACACACAGACACATACACACACACATACACACACATTGTCTGATAAGAGAAAAGATATCTAAAACGAAGGAACATCCTACACAAAACATGGCAATTATTTTTTATGATGATACTGCTACAAAGGGATCAACATTGCCGTTAGTTTTTTTAGTTTTCCTCTGCATTAAGACACATATCTGTCTGACTCTCACCTCGGTGAGAAGGCGTAGCAGGAGGTGCGGAGGAGCCCATGAGACGCTTAGCTGGGTAACAAGCAATTGATGGAGCACTTAAGAGCAAATCATAATCCAATTTTCCCTGCTGATGAGGCACTCGTCTCTTCTTGCTAATTTACGACAATGAGACGAGGCCTCTGGGGGCCAGAATGACAGCCTCTCATTATCTACGAGAGCCACCAGGGAGTGAGGCGAAAGAATGATAATAAAGTGAATGCGTTAAAGATTCACATTAACCTTTCAGTTTGGGGTGGGGACAGAGAATATGCCACAGCCTGACCTCGCCAACCTTAGCATTAATTAAACTTGATTGTATCAAGTCGTGAATGTGTTGCTATGCATCGGATGGCAGGTATGCATAGTGTACATCTGCACCTTCGACTGTGGTTCTTCTTCCCAGTTGAAAATACAGGTTTTAGGTGTGGATTTCCCGTCCATTCTATGTATGTGTGTGTGTGTTTGAGTGTGTGTGGGCCTTTGAGCTTTTTTTTTTTTTTTTTTTTAAAATACTGACATTTAGCCCAGACATCTTTTGCAGACTCTTGTCACTCTGCTGAACCCTTGTAAAATGAGCCTCCTTGACACTTCAAATGACACTGCAGTCTTGTCTGTTCTGTCTTTCCTACCATCTCATTTTGTTCCTTATTCCCTCTCCTTTCTAACACAACTACAATGCAGCTACAGTTATTTTACTTTTTCCCTGTGGGCAAAATATCAACTTCGCTGTATTTTTTTTTTTTTTACCAACATGTCTTTACACCAACTATCACACACAGCTTTTCTTCTTCTAGTTTTTCTCTCTTACAACACTACCTCATCCTAATTCAGATTCTACGATGGTAAACGCTAATGTTGTTCAAATTATTAACCTGATATGAGTGCACTGAACCATAATCAGCCAAGAGATATGACCTCTATCATTATAGTCCAAGCATATTATGTGCTCTCATTCCTTGGTACTGAGATGTCCCAGCGCTACTCACTTGAAAAGAGGGGCAAAATCAATAGTCTGACGACATTTAATTTCACCTCAGTCTACACTTTATTTAAATAGCCAAATTATTCTTGTCCTTTATGATTAGAGTGGTTGTCAAATAAGACATAAAAGCTGCCTGGGTTCACTCCACATTGTGATGAAAGGTGTAACACCAAATATTACAGAAAAATGCTTCAACAACTGATGTAGAAAGATTTTTACAAGTGCTGCTTCTCCATTTTTCAAGAGCTGGGACAGTTTAAGTGACACACTTTCCTAACTTTCATCCTCTTTCTAAAGAGGTCCACATTTGCAAGAACCAACTCTCTAACGTGTCATTCAGTAAGTACCAGAGTAATGTTAGGGGGCAGACTGATGGGGGTGATATTTTTGAAGTGAGGCCACTAAACCTTAAGTTTATTGTATCATAGATCAGCCAAAGCCAGGAACTGTCAGTGGAATCTGTCACACTTGTCAGCTCTGCCACAGCCCATAAAGACCGTGACAGCCTACCCGCTGTGATGGGACAGTAGAGATCAAAGCGCAGCCCCAACCTGCCTGAAAGGCACACTTCACCTGAGACATACTTGATATTCACATGTCAACCTCCAGCTCTAAAGCTAAATTGAGGTCGAAGGGCTGGTACCCACTGTGAAATCGGTTTGGCCTTGGCTAGCTTATTTAAAATATATTTGGCACTTGAATACAACAGACAGGACCTACTGTGAATTTATTAATCTGATTAACAAAGTTAGGTAGTTTAGGTGCCACTATATGAAAGATAAGGGCATTGAAATATATGCATTTTATTACAATTTTAATGAAGACTCTACAGATATATTATACTTCTCATTATAAGTAATTTATCATCAAGATGACTCTCTATAATAATTTTCATGTGTCATTACTCCTTTACAAGATCTTTAAAAAAAAAACAAAAAAACTTCATTCTTATTTCAGTACTGCTGCTTTAGCTATTATTGCTAATAATATGTGGTCAGAATTGTCTTTTCACATAAAATAAAATTTTCATTTTAAAAATTGCTCAAATGACGATGTGACTAATGTGAAAAGGGACACGCTATGTAATGACAGACCCATGGATAATTATCACTGAACTTTGCGTTTTAGCATGCTCAGCTCATTGTTTAGGTTTTACGGCCTGTAATAATACTTTTATTTCAGCCTCACCTCTTACGTTAGCGAACATCCCAGCAAAAGCTTTTTTTTTTGTCCAGTAAAAGCTGTGATAAAGCCAGTGTGTGCTACCTGCTTCACACCAAATGGCACGCAGCCAACTCAGTAACTACCTGGTGAACATTTAACAGCCAAAGAACCAGATATATTTCCTGGGAGTTGGTAGAGAGCCAAAAGGAGAGGGAAAGCTGGACTTAAATTTGCCAAGTGGACAGACATGACTCCAATACTAATATGCTCAGTGTCTTTTGAACATGTTAGCCATAACAACTTTTTAAAGCAGGAGCCTTTAATGCTTTTCAGGCCAATGACCCTTTTGCTTAAAGAAAGATGGAGCAAAGACCCCCAACTACATACGGTATACAGTTGCACTTGAGATAATTCTCTGAATATTTTCATGTCTTAAATAGCTCATGTTTGCCTAGCTGCTGAGCTGGCAGCACTTTGGCTCGGTGCATTAGCCTCACCCTCTGCACTTTCGCCAGTGGTTACTGAGGTGGAAGGTGTGTCAGTCTCTTGCACGAAAAGTTACATTACAATTCAATGTGTCTCACAAGAGTGTCCATACACTTGGAATAATAATACAGCTAATTGGCCATTAAGTTTCAACAGTACGTTAATGTTAGCTTACTAGTTCACCTTGCCTTTTTTTGATGGATAGACCAATTTATCTTTGCTGTAATATGTTGGATTCATGTTATTGCGTAATTTCAGATATGTTTTATTTCTGAGGAAAAAAAATTAAAAGTAAATTAAAAATTGAATTATCAAACATTTATTTGCCCCCTCTCCCACATTAACTCTGAGCACCCTTGTGGGTACGTGGACCCCCTGTTTAAGGCCTAGGTTTTAAGGTATAAATATATCAGTGTTATGTTGACAACATGTTAAGCTGCCCCCAAGTGGCCAAAAAAAAACCAAACAAACAATGAATGCAGGCTTTAGGAAATAGATGCGATCTTCAGTGCCCCATGGAATGAACACCTCAACTTCCTAGATGGAAAAATGAACCTTAAATGGTGACGTTATGTGAACATAACATTTAAAAGTTGTTTTAATTAGTACTAGCCCTCTTTTTGTCAAATCAAAAACGATTTCTCTCTTTAACTGATTTTCCATTGGCTAATACATTAAATCACTCAGTATGTCACTGTGTTGTGTTTAACCATGTTTGTTTCGACAGGAGTTGCAGTCATACAAGGACGTAAAGAAGTTTCATGGGCTTTTTTTAAGTATGTAGACAGTCTTTCCCACTCACCCTCCTTTGATGTAATCTAAGAATGTGAACTCTGACTCCACTGAGAACGAGAGCAGGGTCACCTGGAATTAAAGACAAGGAGAAACATTTAATTAAACATGACGGTAATGATCTTTTCCTCCTAAGTACAGAAAAACCTCCACATCTTGTTGTGGCTCAGAACTTGACACTTCAGTCAAAGATGTGAGCCGGCTGGTTTCTCACAACTGATTCATTTACATTGCCAAAGGACAAGTTTGAAGAGAGGATGAGATCCATTTGTATGCATTACATGCACATGCCCACACTGCTGGGTAAGTTGTGTGAAAATTGGTGTCTCAATTGGTTGTTGGTGTCGCCCACTCTGATCTCTCAGATCCTGTCCTTCAAACTCAGTGCCTTCATATTTCATTTTGTCCTGCTTATGTAGGCTACTGCAAGTACTACCCAAAGTACATCTTGCATAACCACCTACAGCACCATACACTATGGTATATAATGGACACAGTGTTTGCGTACAGGCAATGCACATAAACACACTAGAGGATGTCAGTTTTGGTTAATTTCGCTTACGTTGGCCTGAAACCCATTTAACATTACAAGCAAAATGATGTGAAATACAAGAGGCCTTTCCTTTTGGTTCCATTAATTTTGAGCTTTAGTGCTGCATTTCAAAGCGCTATCCATTTAAAGGTGGTAAAATTTGAATGTATTGCGATGGAAATGTCTCGCCTTTCTTTAAATTTTCTGTTGGCTTTGCTGACAGACAGCCTGCTAGCCACATACACATACAGAAACATAGCAGCCACTGCCCATTCACTGGTCTCCACTGGTGAGCTAGCCTTGGCTGCTCTGCACTGGTTTAGGTGAGAGCTAAGTTAGCTAAGGCTAAGGCTAGCGGCCAAGGCTAGTGATGGCTGACCAGTAGAGACCAGAGGATGGGCACTTGGCTATGTTTGCGCATGTTAACGCAGCTAGCCAGCTGTCCATCTCCCAACAGATCTGGGTGATGTGCAGTGCAGTAAACTGAAGAGTAGCAAAATTAATCCCCCGACCGATATGTGTAACCAGTCAAAACAGTTGACAGTTAACATCCCTAATACACACAGATTGAGCAGGACACAATGTCAAGCTCAGCTCACATCCCAGCTACATCAGCTGATCTCAAACAGCCAATCAACTGATGGATCAGCTGATTGATGAAAGGGAGTCAGCTGATAGATCACATGATTCCTTTCTATGCAATCAATTGGCGAATCTCATTCAGGGCCCTATTTAAACTGCTCTGGCCTGCCTACTGTTGCTGCGTCCTCTGTAAGCCGCTTTGCAACATGCCTCCACCCCAGCTCCTCCTTTTCATGTTGTGTCTGACTTATCAATGTCATTTCTGTTTGTCATTGATGCTGGCTATGGTCTATTCCTAGGGGTCTTTGCTGCTGCTCTCCCTGCCTTAGGCTTTCCATATAGGCACATGAAAGGGCCAGGAGGTATGCTCTCTCCGCCTTAGGCTTTCCATGTTTGCGTGTGGAAGGGCGGAGTGGTGTGCTCTCTCTCTCTCTCTCTCTCTCTCTCTCTCTCTCTCTCTCTCTCTCTCTCTCTTTTTACCAGATGTCTTAATTAATTGGTGTGTGATACAAGAATTAATGAGGAAATCTATTTTTTTTTCCACAACAGCACAGATTGGCATTGTCTTCCAAGGAGCCAACACTTGTGTGATACTTAAAGAGGGAATTATTTAACAGAGGAGAAGTAGGTGTGTGAAGCAGAAAAAAAAGAGGCACAGTGCCAGTCCTGGTTTGTTGCTGGTGTCATACTCACTGTCCCAGAGTTGACATATTTCTTTTTCTTCATTTTCTTCTTGGTATTAATCACCTAAAAAAAACAAAATGTACAAGTAAAAATATTTTGCCCATAATTTAGTCAAAAAGAACTTGCTTTGAATCAATATAATGGCTCTAAAGTAAAAATATTGACAATATTTGAAACATTATTTCATATAAAGGAGATTATAATCACAGACATGTACATAACAAACCTAGGCCCACATATTTTTTTTTTATAAAAAATGCAAAAATATGTTATTTAAATTGTTGCTTTAAACAGCCAAATTTGGTTACGGAATCTTACATTACCCATAATCAACCTAATAATAAAACAGACATGTGTGAAAACAATTTAAAAATTCTGTCTTAAAAAAAAAATCTGCGAGAAAAATCTGTTTTCTTAAGCTAGGCTCTTCAGCTGTAAACATTTTATTCAGACTTCGAAAAATCAGTCAACCTTTAATCCATCCAACCGAAATATTGCATTACTACCGTATAATTATAAAACTCACATATAATTTCTTCTTTGCTGGATTTGGCTTGCAACTATGTATTTTTACACACATTAAAATAGAATTTCCATTATATCACCTTCTTTTACACACATTCACACCCTGTAGTTTTACAACAAATGTAATGAAGGCGTGTATGTGGGCAGTATGAGATTTGTGCAGTTTGTCCATCCAAGTGAAGAGAGGAAATTAGGGACGGTGAGAAAGGATGTGTGTGCATGAAGCAACCTGATGTGTATAAGTAGAGAGTGTAGCTTATGTAAGATCAATTAAAAACACTTATCTTGAGTATCTTATACACTTCAGTGACACTATTATACAGGGAAAGTTTGGAAATTCAAACAAATCTGAAACTACAAAGAAACTGATGGATGCGACAGGCTTTAGCAGCGAGACTTAACATTTACTGTACCGGTATTCTGCCGGCTCCAGAGCAAGAGAGAAATGTCAATCCGGAGACCAAAGACGTCTCAACTCATTACCTCGATCCTCTATGGCTGCGAGGCATGAAAGTGACAGCCCCTAATTTAACATGGAGGGATGGCAATTTGTCTGACACACCGAACAATCTGCTGATGCAAAAACTAAAGGGCCTTTCAGTCTCACTGGGAGGTGGAGGGGAATCAGGAGTAGCTTATAATGGAGCTGACATCCAAAAGACAGGTATTTGTCCTTTAGTTGGAGGCCACCAAACCACAGAAGCCAGAAGGTACTGACATGTCCTCCTTTATGGTCAGATAGTGACTTTCAAAAGTTTTTTTTAATTAATCAATTTCTTTGTACAAGGGTTAATGTTTTATGGTGGCCTTAATACTTATAATCTTACAACAAAAACATGTCCACATAAATTAACATAATATAATCTGCTCTGGATGAAACAAGTAGTGATTTCAAAACACAGGACACACACATGTCATTTTCAGGCCCTGCATCGCCCTTGGATTCTGCAAAATGAGTCGGATTTGTAATTTGCATACAGAGCTGTATTGTGTGCTATAAAGGGACACATTAAGCTATCCCATGAGAAGTGCTGAGAAATAGCTATCATAATTCTAAATCCCTGGATTGTTTTCCTATTAATCCTGTTTCACGCTGCTGCTAATAGCTCCGTTTCTATGTGTGTCAGCATTCAGGTGATTATAGTGGCGAAATAAATCTAATAATAACAAATGAAGAACTTTGGCAGAAGAAATATTTAATTGGATATATAACTGCTCGGGGAAGGCTGGGGAGACATGCACAAATACTGTGCCATACACATGCCCTTTAAGAAATGAATTAGGAATATATGGGATAACTTTTTCGACATGTTTTTTTTGTAGCTCTTGAATAAATGCATCGGCTTGCCGCAGGAGCAGAAGATGGAAAGGAATGTGCTAGAGTAATGGAAAACAGTGCAACAGTGATGTCAGAGATAGAAATGTCACTCGTGTCAGAAATGGGATCTAAGACGCCCAGCGTAGAGGGATTCCAGATCTCAGGAGCCAACAGACACGTTGTTGAACTGTGAAAACACTGGAATTACTCACCTCGTACACATTGAACTGACTCTGCCCTCGAGCTAGCTCTCGGTAGCTGGTCGTAAAATCCCCGATGAAGTCATGGCTGGGAAAAGGGATGAAAGGAGAGAAACACCAGAGAGTAAGAAAAAAATGTCAGGTAATAACAGGACAGGGAATGATTGGTTCTTCGGGTGAATAGTTCTGAAAACTGTCACCTTAAACTTGGCTGCTGATAGTTTATAATTGAAGATTGCATTCACACTCACCTGCCATCTCTATCCCAATCGTACACCTCCACTTTGATCGTTCTTGAGAAAAACAAAAACAGACGTGCACACAATCAGGTTAGAGTTTTAGGATCTTGCGCACAAGACTAGTCAGTGTGGAAACTGATGTCTGCTGTGCAAGTTGAAGGATTGTTTACTGCTGCCAAGCTGTCTTGTTATTCTGTGCTCGGCACAGAAGAGAGAAGTTCTCTTATTTTGGCATCAAACCATGTTTACATTCAGTGTTTCTCACCAAACCACGCTGTGGATATCCTTGAGGTCTAACAAATATTGTTAGAGCATCTCCTTCCTCATAAAACATTTGCAAAGCAGGTTTTTAAAAAAAACATTTTCTGTTGTACGTCGTTTACATCCGTTTTTACTTGTTAGTAGTCTTCACCTCCTTTCTTGGCACATTGCTACGTTTGTTGCCGCGTTCCTGCCACCATCTGTCAGTTAGCGGAATAGTGTGAAAACTACAGCAGGATGTAGAGTTGCCCATGTGCTTGCTTGCACGATAAAGAGATGCAGATGTAAAAACATAGCCCCTTTGAAATGCTCCAGGACATTTGTTGATGCGCTACAAACAAAACCGTTATCCGCAAAGGTCTCGTCTTTTGCAAAACAAGACCAGGTGATTCAAATTGGTAAAAAACACTGAATAAAAAAAAGTTTCACATTACAAATCAGTGTTTTTCCAACACAGTTAGGCTTGTCAAGGAGGAGCTGCTAACTATGGTGGCTATTGCAAAAATGCAAACAGCCCTCTCTAGAGCAAGCATTTGGTTTGCTCATTCTGGGCTACTGTAGAAACATAGTGGTGCAACATGGTGGACTCTGCGGATGAGGACCTGCTCCCCATGTAAATATAAATGTCTCATTCTAAGGTAACAAGGTAACAACGATTCTTATTTAAGGTGATTATTAGACTAAAGAAAACATGTTTATATTATATTCCATTTCTGACAGTATATCCCCCCAAATCCTACACACTATTGAAAGGTACTTGGTACTTGATACCTTTAATAAATAGACCGAAATAACTCACTACTAGGTAGTCCAGTTAACAATACCTGCAATTTGATCTCAGGTGGGCCAGACCAGTGAACCCATTGCATAATAATTGCTTTTTTTAGTTTAAAGACATACATTCTGAAAATGTTCATCCATTTACAAAACAGATGAACAGCCTGCAGTATCATCAAAAAATATGTGCAAATTCAACAGTATGTCTCAGTTTTTCCACATTCAGTCAGTCTGCTACTCACTTTCATTACATGTGCATCTTTTTCATAATTTCCACTAAAGCAGAAGCTGTTGAAGAAGCAGGTTAAATCATCCCCTGCCTTACAGACCATTTACAATCTGAAGTTTTGTGCAGCAGGGCTCCACTAATTTTATTTTAAGATAGAGGTCTGATACAGATTCTTTTGTACTGCAGCTGCTTGTTGACAATATGTTTCACAATGTTCAATATCTTTAAACTAGTCCATACCCATTGAGTGCACAGTTGCCCATGTACAGTTTCACATGGTGTGTGTTTGGGATACAGGTCATAGGAAATTGCAGATTAAATAGTCAACTGAACCCATTAAGAAGAGCAATGTATTCAGACAGAGTTTTTCTGAATTTGATAGAATGATTGCTTTATTGAAAGTACAGTAGATTGACCACGTCAGTGAGTAGAAAAATGTGGGACAGACCGAATGACTGACTGACAGAATGACACACTGACAGTTTCCGTGATTATGTACAGCATACCATACCATGACTTAGTCATACCAAAAATTAGAAAACAAAAAAACATTCAGCCACAGGGGGAGCCACAGCGATCGGTCACATTTTAGCCATTTCTAAGCATTTTTCTGTTGTTATAGCGCCACCCAGTTGCCAATTAGAGTTAAATTTCTCCAGTCACCTTGAGGCGTCCTGTTCTATATATCTACCAAGTTTAGTAAAAATCGATATGGAGGTTAGGCCTAGATAAGAAATTAGCTCACTAGCGCCCCCATTTTGTTTGATGGGGTCAATAATGGAGGGGTCCCCTCAGATTATGTGTGGTCATATGCCTACAAAGTTGCGTGGTGATCGGTGAAACCCTTGAGATGTTATACACCTTTATGTGATGAGCCACGCCCTCCGCAATATACATTGCCTTATAGAAGCTCAGTTTTAGTAAGTTTTCCAACTTTTGCCAAGAGGGAACTTTAGATATTGGTCCCTAGATTATGTTCACCGAGTTTCATGCAGATCGGTCAAACTTCCTAGGAAGAGATCGATTTTAAGTGTTTTTCAAAAAATTCAAAATGGTGGAAAATCTGTATAACCAGAAGTTATGGGTTCTTAGGCAAATTTGTTTCATGTCTCTACGACATACGGGGTATGAGATATGCCCATTCAAAGTTTGCAATTTCAGTTGGTTGTTATAGCGCCCCCCTTTGGCCAATTAATGTAATATTGCTTCATTCGCATCCTTCCATGATCCTCTACCACTGTGCCAAATTTCACATGGATTTACCAAGACAGTGAGGAGAAAAACGTGGAACAGAGACACACACACACACACACACACACACACACACACACACAGAGTTTTCGTCATTATATACTAAGATATGACCACAGTAAGTATTAATCTGTATTCTGGTCAGGGTGGAAAAGCCTCTGAAGCAGTATTTTACATTAAGTTTCTAGTATCTAGTGGGCCGGTTATGGCCCCTGGGCCATATGTCTAACACTCCTGTTCTAAAGTGTGGTTGTGCTACAAGCCTGTGGCATCTGATAGAAATAAAAGCATAACATGCAGAAGGATTCTTTCAAATGAAGTAGCCTTCTCTATCTGTATCACAATAAGGGTACTGTATTGGTACTGGTGTCGTAGTTTTTGACACGATACGCAGCCGTACTTATGGGACGTTTTTTCAACCATGATACCAACATGAAACCGAGCATTTAGGGAATACATCACATCACATCACACTGGGGAAAGATCACCACTCTGCTCAGCAATACCTTCATTAGCCTCATTAAGGCTTTGCAATTAACAAGGACAGGAGACAGTGGCCACAGGTGTGCACTCCTGTTTCATGTCAGTCCTTTGAGCCTTGGAGTTTTCAGTGCTAAATAAATAAGGCTCATCATCATTATTGAGCGCGACAAGGAGAGAGAAACATTGATGGTGTTTATTTATGTATTTAGTTTGAGTTTGTTAATTGTTCTGGTGTGTTGATGACTGAGTGATTCAGTGGATCTTAAGTAATTTTAGGTCTCTCAAAAAACGTATCTATTTTTAAACATTATACTGAGTACTTTGATATCATTTCATTCAAGTAATTGTGTTGAAATGGCGCCAAGGAAACCCTAAAATCAATTAAAACGGATGTCACTTTGTTCTAAAACTGGGATGCTTGCCAGCTTTAGAACGAGGCTGAGCAGCTGGCTGCACGTTGCAAGAAAAAAAGTCAACTTGTATAAAACACTCCCTCCAAAAAATCCGTAACTTCCAAACTGCAGCACATGTTAACTTCCAACATTCAAAAGAACATGACAAAAAAGACACTCTGATGCCATTTTACACAAATGCAGCAGAAACAATGTCCCTGCAGAGCGTTACAGAGAAAAAAAACATATTTTTTTGGCACCTGAGTCACATTGATCTCACCCCCGTGTCTCCCCTCTCCTCCCCATTTCGTCTTACACAAGTACTGACACCAGCCCAGATCCAAAGAGAATAGAAGCAAGCAGCACATCAGAGACTCTTTTTCCTGTCACTGAGGAATTGAAAGATGCCTGAAATAAGCCCAACTTCCTCTCTGCCACCTGGCCCCTGTCGTTCTGTGGTGACAGTTTGTTCTTTTGAGGTTATCTTCAAGGCTGTGAGAGAGAAAATGTTCACCCAGGTAGTGGAAACATGATGCTTCTCTTCTCTTCTAACAGGGAAGAGGCAAGTGAGATGCAGAGAGATACAGCAGAAACAGATAAAGTAAGACATCCCTTCCCTTGACCAATCCATGCGCAGTGCTAAGTGCAAGTGGTTTTAGTGCACGCCATGTTACGCAAAGTAACAGGAAGCTGTCATCATACCAGCTCAAAGCATTTTCCATTATTTCTATTCCAAATCCTAACAGAGAGCTGCATCAAAGCACTCCAGTGCTCAGATTCTTGAGTGGCCCCTTCACACTCTCAGAACAATATACACTCCAAAACTAATCTGCCGCAGATATCCTCAGCTACTATTCTAAGGCATCTTTAATGAACATGACTCATCTTCCGTAATGGAGGAGCAAATAATTGAAGGGAAAAAAACGGAGACTGCATTTGACACTGAACAATTCTTCAGCTCCAATTACACAGATCCGTCTGTGATCTTTTGCCAGGGATGGAAATAGACTTCGCTTGAGTCACCTGGGCTGGCACATTAATGAGAGAGTTGATTCTTTTGATGTTTTTAATGAATTATCAGCATAAAAATATATATCTTAGGTGCCACCTACACAGAAAAAAGCTCAGTATACAAGGGGGTATGAAGGATGTGTATATACAGTAGAGAAATGGAGGGAATAAATTTAAATTTCTACAACTTGGAAGCACCTTCAATTTCCCTCCTCTCTCTTCACGCTCCCACATCCTCTTCCCCTTGACATACTCATCTGGAACAGGGTCTTTGAAATATTGGATTTCTGTTTTTTTTCTCCTGTACCAATGCAAATATACTTACCTTTGCTGCCTGTGATCAGTTATTCCCCTCTACTTCATTTCTCCTCCTGTTCTCCACCCCCATCGCTTTTCCAAGTTACTCTCCTCGTCTTTTTCCAAAATGTAGTCTTCCAAAGCAGATTGTATGTATGTATACATATGGAGAGATGGATTTTGCTAGCTGTCACCAGAGACTCAACAGCATCCTGCCAGTTGAAGGACAGTCTGCCTAATCACTGCGCCACCCAGTCGCCAGCCAAAACAGTTTGAAGGTGTTTTTATCCATGTCTGTGTGTTTGTAAGATATTCTGAAAGGTTACCAATGGATCTGACTAAAATATGGTCGA